GTAGGGTGGGGTGTGTGTGAGTGAGAGTGAGGGGGTGGAGGGGGAGGTTTGTGGTAGGGTAGGGTGGGGTGTGTGTGAGTGAGAGTGAGGGGGAGGTTTGTTGTAGGGTAGGGTGGGGTGTGTGTGAGTGAGAGTGAGGGGGTGGAGGGGGAGGTTTGTGGTAGGGTAGGGTGGGGTGTGTGAGAGTGAGAGTGAGCGGGAGGTTTGTGGTAGGGTAGGGTGGGGTGTGCGCATATGCGTGACTTCTGGTTGCCCCCCACCTCCCCCCCACCCCCGAAAGCCCAGTCTCAGTGCCCTCCTGCACCCACAGACACTCACATAAACCTCGATGGGTTCGGTGGTAGGGCCAGCAGCGTAGATACTCTCACCCATGCCCTCCGAGGGCCTGGTGTATGTGAATATTGTTCCGCCTCCCTCGTACTGGCCTGGCCGATCGATTGCCCAGTTCCCATTGATGATCGACTGGCCTGAGTGACTCCTCAGGGCTGTGGGGAGGGGGGCAAGGCCGGAGCATCGGTCAGTCAGGACATCACACCAGGATATCAACCACCCCCTCCCTCCACTCCCCACACTTGCCGAGTTTGGGAGCCTCACCAAGGTAGTTACGACTGCGAGCTGCCTCGGTCACGTTGATCTGTGTGGCTCCAGCCGGAACGGCAATGATCTGGTGGTAGCCAACATTGACCTGGGAATCCTCGAAGAGCCCAAACACCAGCTCGCAGGAGGAACCGTCCCCTCCACACACTCCACAACGGTCAGGCCTCGTCCCCGAGCCCAGGATCCCATCGCAGCCTGCCGTCTGTGTGAGAGAGGGAGGGAGACAGTGAGTGAGAGTGAGAGTGAGAGAGAATGCCAGAGAGACAACGAATGTGAGAGAGAGAATGAGACAGTGAGTGAGAGAGTGAGTGAGAGAGAGAGAGGGAGAGAGAGAGAATGAGACAGTGAGTGAGATAGAGAGAATGAGAGAGAATGTGTGTGTGAGAGAGAGAGAGAGAGAATGTGTGTGTGAGAGAGAGAGAGAATGTGTGTGTGAGAGAAAGAGAGAGAGAATGTGTGTGTGTGAGAGAGAGAGAGAGAGAATGTGTGTGTGAGAGAGAGAGAG